ACAGCAACTATTTATGGCTATGTATTGCTCTAGGTAGGTGCCAAAGACCCACTGGTAAGTAAAGCAAAGTTTTTACCATAGTGGAATTTACATTCTAGTGATGGAGACCAACAATAAATGAACAAATAACATAGATTATATCATTGGTAAAAAGTGTTATGAGAGATCCGGTCTTCCAGGTTAAGGAAGAGGGGATTGTTATTTTATGTGGTAGTCAGGGAAACACTCTCTAATAAGGTAGTTTCAGCAGAGACCTGAATGAAGAGCAAATCATGGGGACAACTGGGAAAATATACTCTTTTTTTTTTTTAAAGATTTTATTTACTTATTTGACAGAGAGAGAGATCACAAGTAGGCAGAGAGAGAGGGGGAAGCAGGCTCCCTGCTGAGCAGAGAGCCTGATGTGGGGCTTGATCCCAGGACCCTGAGATCATGACCTGAGCCGAAGGCAGAGGCTTAACCCACTGAGCCACCCAGGCGCCCCTGGGAAAATATATTCTTAACAAAGGGAATAGCAAGTGCAAAGGCCCTGAGGTAGGAGCATGCTTGGTTTATTCAAGAAGCACCAGGGAGGCCAGTGTGCCTAAAGTAGAGTATGCAAGAGAGGAGAGTGGCTTGAAGATCACTACAAGATATGGATTTTTACCCTAAGTGAGATGGGAAGCCACTGAAAGTCTTAAAGCAGACAAGTAATGTGACCTGATATATGTCTTGAAGGGCTGGTACTGGCTACTGTGACAAGACCACACTATTGTAGGGCAAGGGTAGGAAAAGTGAGACCAGTTAGAAGATTAACTCAATAATCTGGTTGAAAAAAAAAAATTAAAAAAAAAAAAAAAAGGCAGACAATAATCTGGTTGAGAGGTTGTTGTTGATTGGACCAGAGTTGGAATTGGTGAGAAATGTTCTGTATTAGTTATCTACTGTTGAGTAACAAATGATTACCAAATTTACCAGCTTAAAACAACATACATTTATTTTCTCACAGTTTCTGAGATTCAGGAATGTGGGAGTGGGTGGTTCTGGCTCAGAGTCTGTTTCTCCTGAGGTTTAGTCAAGACCTTATATGGGTCTGCATGACTTGAAGTCTTGACAGTGGTTCTAGGGTCCACATTCAAGAAAGCTCCTGAAGATGGCAGCTGACTGAAGGCCTCAGTTCCTCATCATACAGGCCTCTCCACAGGACTGCCTTGAGCCACAGCAGCCAGCTTCCCCCAGAGCAAGTGATGAGAGAAAGAGGGAAAGGAGAAAAGTCAGTAGTGTCATTTATAACCTAACCTCCAAAGTGACACAACATCACTCCTGCCAGATTGTACTGGTCACACAGGCTGACCAAGTACAGTGCGGGAGGGGATGACACAAGACTGTGAACACTGAGAGGTGGGCATGTTTAGGAACCATCTTGGAGGCTGTGAACCACCGTTCAGATTCTGGTTTTGTTGATGGGTGACATCTAGCGTGTGACAGAAAGAAAGGGACCAAAGCTAACTATAGGACTTGGGCCTTCTTTTTTTTTTTTTTTTTTTTTTTTTTTTGGCAGGAGGGAAGATCAGGAGCTATTTTTGGACATGTTACATTTGAGAGCCCATTAGAAGTAACTCAAGTGGAGATGTCAAGGGAGCAGCCAGATAAAAATCTGAGTGGGGAGTTTCTAGGGAGATGGGCCAGCTGGAGATATCATTTTGGGACTTGTCAGTGTATGATGGCATTTAAAGTCAGAGCCCAGATCCAATCCCCCAGGAGTTAAGCCCAGACAGACAAGAGAACAGGCACTGGAGCTAACCCTAGGCCCCCAACGGTTAGATTTGCAGAGAAGAGGAGGAGCCGACAAGGATGCTGAGAAGGGACCAGTGAGGCAGGAAGAGAACCAAGAGCTTGGTGCTCCTGGAAGCCAGGAGAAGAAAATGTCCCCTCCAAGTTCAGTGCTGCTGAGAGGTCAAGGAAGTAAGAGTAACATGGTTCCGGTCCTCTGCCAGGACACCAAGGCGTGACCCAGATTCTAGAGACCTATCGCCAGTGTGTACCATATGAGTTAGAGAGGAACTTTAGGTGAGAAAAACCTTGGGGGGGATCTTGGGAATATGATAAGAAGCGAATGGGAAAAATCAAACCAAGTCAAACATTAATACTTAAAAACAGCAAATAATGATTACGAGTTGATTATGTAGTGTGTGTGGCTCTAAATATGGTTCAGGTGTCAGATCACTGAATGCCCACAGCGACCACATGGAATAACCGTTTTTTCCCCAGGTATGAGGAGAAAGTGGGTTTACAGAGGGAATCAGGGTCAGCCTGTGGTCACACAGCTGGGTAGGAGCAGCAACGGTTCAAATTCTGGCCACTGGCCCCTGAGCCTCTCTCTGGGCCCAGCGCATGCCTCTTCTTCTGTAGGGATGCCTTCTGAGGGATTCCTTAAGGACCAAGGAGGAAAAAGAGGCCAAATAATATCACTGTCTGGAGTTTTCTCCTCTGCCAGAGACCCGGATGCTGTAGAAGTCTAAAAAGTGAAACACAGGTGCCTTTGAACTTGCCAGGTGATTTAATTCAGTGTCTCAGTGCTACTCCTGTCCAGAGGCCACCAGCCAGTCCTGAGACTGCAGCTCTCAGACTGCTGTTCTATTTTATTTATTTTTATTTGTTTTGTTTTATTTTATTTTTAAAAGATTTTATTTATTTACTTGAGAGAGAGCAAGAGTGAGAGAGGGCACAGAGGGAGAGGGAAAGGCAGACTCCCTGCTGAGCAGAGAACCCTACGTGGGGCTCGATTCCAGGACTCTCGGAAATTACTACCTGAACGGAAGGTAGATGCTTAACTGACTGAGCCCCTCCAACTGCAATTTTAAAAGTCCCACCTTATTGCCTATTTTCCCAGGATCAGGAACCCCACAAGTGTTATCCCCAAGCCACTATTGCCCCACCCCCCACCCCTATATCCTAGCAGGAGGCAGGGGTGTGGGAGGTGTCTGGGGCAAGCAAGAGACTATACTCAGAACACAAGCAATGCCAATGTCCCTTGCCAGATTTTGTGATTGGAAAATCACATGGTCTGTCCTTGAATATTTCTTGCTTAGATATAAGCTTTGCGGTAGTTACTACAATGCTCAGAAAGTAAATTAGATTCTGACCTAAAAATGAAACGTGTTATATAGCAGTTTACTTTATTTTTAAGATTTTATTTATAAGTCATCTCTATAACCAACGTGGAATAGAGTCACTCCAAGACCAAGAGTCATCTGCTCCAATGACTGAGCCAATCAGGCTCCCCTATAGCAGTTGACTTCATCACTGCAGAAACCTGTCTATTTTACAGTTAAATAAGCAAGGAGTGCCTGGACTGATTTTTATTCTATGAAAAGTGGACAGCCTTTCCCCAACATGATTCTTTTTAAACCACTAATGTGTTAAGTACTTTCTATAAGGAGGTTAACTAAAGAAGATGTATGCAACAACAGGAATTGAAGTCAATCAATCCAGACTTTCAACTGTTTAAGGAAACAAAACCAAACCAAACCTACTCTCTGCCTAAAAAAACAACTATTACATGCTATAATTTAAACAGTAGAATATCTTTTAAGAGTGTTGATTATCAAAGATCCACCCAGAATGTGTCTTTAAGAATAAGATTAATGTACTTGTGGGGCGACTGGGTGGCTCAGTTGGTTAGGCCACTGCCTTTGGCTTGGGTCATGGTCCCCGAGTCCTGGGATCGAGTCCCCTATCGGGGTCTCTGTGCAGGGATTCTGCTTCTCTCTCTGACCCTCTCCCCTCTCATGATCTCTCTCATTCTCTCTCTCAAATAAATAAGTAAAATCTTTAAAAAAAATAAATAAATAAATAAAATAAATAGAACTTCTAAACTTAAAAAGAAATTAAAAAAAGGTTCATGCACTTGATTTTTCCACTCTTGGTGTTTCCTGGCAATGCCCGTAATTAGCTGTGGCACCCTGGAAAGGCGTATCTATTCTTAACCTCATTAGTGAAATGGGGATAATACTGGTTATTTCACAAGGATATTGTAATGATAAAATGAGAACGCATATATAAAAGTTTGATATTAACTCCTAATAAAATAAAAATTTCTAAAATGGCTTCTAGTTTTCCATTTTTGTACTGAAGGTAAATAATCATTAAGGAGGTTAGTTAAAGGGACTCCTTTTAAGAGACGCATACTGAAGTGGTTTAGCATGAAATGATGTAACAACTGAGATTTGCTTCCAACTAATCCAGTGGGAACAGTGGCTTAGTGTGGAGATTTGGGCCACATTTTGATATCATTGAAGCCAGGTGATAGGTATCTAGGAGTTTGTTAAAGACCATTTGCTTTTTATTTTTAAAGATTTTATTTATTTATGTGACAGAGAGAGAGCTCAAGAGAGCATAAGCAGGGGGAGCAGCAGCAGAGGGAGAGGCTGGCTCTCCGCTGAGCGAGGAACCCAAATGCAGGACTTGATCCTAGGACCCTGGGATCATAACCTGAGCTGAAGGCAGATGCTTTAACCCACTGAGCCACCCAGGCGCCCCAGCTTTTTATTGGAAATTTTCATATTATGAAAGTAAAAAGCACAGGGGAAACCGGAGGGCAAACCATATGCTTCCTGATTAAGGCTACTTCTGAAGCAAACCTTGATGTTAAAAAGAAGTGGCAGCAATTTTGCCAAAATGCATGAGAGTCCAAGGATTTGAGAAGTTGACTGTGTTTTCAAATAACCTTTCAATTTATTGTTAACTAAAGGAAACCCATTTTAATTCAATGTTGTAGGAAAAAAATTATATTTATGCGATTTAAGATTATTAATGGAACCGACACATTAACCTGGAATCTCAAACACTTGAAGATTTTTCACAAGAGAATTTCGGGATATGTTAGCAATTATCTGTCTTTGAGTACGTAATAACATATCGGTATTTCAAATGACGATATGCTGGCTATTTCTGTGACAAAATCTGTCATTAATTAAAGGAAACTGAGCAGGAAGTACATAACGTGCTCCCTTCCTTACCTTGAAGGTGGGAATTCTCTAGGAACTCTTCATGAGAGTCTTTTGCTTCTCCAGGCTTTGCTGATCGATACTCACTCCTCAGAGAGATCTTCCACCATCTAAAGACTACCTGTGATTGAATAGAGACGGATGGGAATAAAACTGATTCCGAAACCCAATCCCAACAAGTACAGCTTGGTGTGGGATTTTGCAAATTCCCTGCAGTAGCCACTAAGGCTACGTGTCCAACGTCAGCTGTAACTTTGCCATCTGGTGTCACATCACATCAGAAGTGAGGTCTGCGCATCAGTCAACATTCTCCTCAGAGATTGGGATCACAAAATCGAAGTGCTGGAAGGGATCTTAAAAATCTATCATGTCAATCGATGTTAAAATCACGCAGACCAAAATGGCCATTTGTCTCTTGAGGGTCTCTGAGAGTAGGCGTTCTCTAACTTGGGGAGCCAGTTCCAAAGTAATTGCTCCACTCTCTGCCTCCCTTCCTGTCTGCAGGGCGGACACAATGAGTGGATACTTTCCTACCTGACCAGCACCGGGGAAAGCACCATTATGCTTTGCCTGATGCATGTAAGGGTCGTTACACAGGGCGCTTCTTGGTAATGGACCTGCTCATGGCCCATTGGACTTCTAGGAGCCTGTTGGTTTATCTGGAGCAAACCTAATTTCCATGGTTACAGACTGCATGTAAGTTCTGTGCTGATTTCACTGCAGTGTCAACTCCTGGCCCCGACGAGGAGGCCCCTGAAGCCTATCCAATTTGTCTCACGTCCTTCAGCCTGCAATGGAACTGGGGAATTATTGAGATGACAAAGCTTCCACCAACTTGACAAACAAACCAGATTTTTTCCACACTTAAATGAGGGCTACGTGGGAACAGATGGGTAAGGGGACGGTGCAGAGAAACTGGTTGGCTTCCTCTCTCACTAGCATCGCCGTGTAAGGTTACAGCGATAGTCCGGAAGGCTCTGCCCGAGGCAGAATTGTTAAGCAGGTGCAACTTGCCATGGGCCCTGCCCTCGTTTATAGTTCCTCTCTCCCATCCCCACCTACCTATCACTCCCTGGGGTCCTTACAGGTCCTGGGTATGCCTTTTTGGGCCACTGCCCTGGTCCCTACAAACTCTTTGCCCGGTGCCCAGGCCCTTCTTGGTGTGGTTCTAGAACCTCTCCTCCCCAGCCTTCGAACTGCCTGACCACCTCATCGCTCGTCACTCCTTTCTCTCTGCTTACAGGCCTGGGCTTCAGCCAGCTTTCCTCTCCTTGTAGAGCTGCCTTCCTGTGCCCTGTCGTCTCCTGAGGTCCTTCTCCCAACCTCCTCCCCTTCCCAGATATCTGAAAGGTAACCACCCAACTCTCAGGGCTGTGGAGACTCTTTATACCATCTTACCTGGCACCCTGCACAACAGAAAGTAGGACTTTTAATTAAAGGCTTACTATTCATATAGGTTTACATATAAAATATGTAAGTTACAAACACCTCGTCTCACAAAACTTGCAGAAAATCCCTTACCCTGCCACTTTTGATTTTCCTGAGCAGGAGCCTCACCAAAATGGTTCTCTTAAACATCTTTCCACCCCATCCCCACAGAGGTGAGGGTGTTTTGGTCCCTAGGGCTGCTGTAACAAAAGACTAAGGGCTTAAATGACAGAATTTATTGCTTCACAGTTCTGGAAAGCTGTTGACAAGTTTGGCATCTCAGAAGCCTCTCTCCTGGGCTGGCTTGCTGGGGCCTTATATGGCCTTTCCTCTGTCCGTGTGAATCCCTGGTGTCTGTCTCTTCTTATAAGGATACCGGTCATATTGCATCAGGGCCCCACCTTTATGACCTCATTTAACCTTAATGACCTGTTCAAAGGCCCTATCACCAAATCCCAACCCTGGGGATTAGGACTTGGACATAGGAATTTTAGGAGGACACAATTTAGTCCCTAGCAGAGTCATCCGTTACAGTATCGTATACTGTATCTCTATGATACACAGGGACATCAGTAGAAAGAGCACAGATTCTGGAGAGAGAACTTTGCTATTTAATCGCTCTAAACTTCAGTTTCCTTTTTTATTCACTTTCTATTAGACAGCATTGAAATTAACATTAAATATGATAAAGATTTCTTTTCTATTGAGGAAAGATGCCAGGCAATCCGAATCTAATGCTGTCTCTGTACCACATGATCTGGAATTTTTGAACTAATGGGGAGGTCAGAAATAATTTAGTCCACCTCTTGCAACTCATACAGCGGAGCAAAATGTTTCCAAGAGGTTATGTTAAAAGTGGTGTGTTGTCTCTCTCTACGACCACATCACTGGAAGTACGTTACCGTGAAAGCAAGTCTTGGGTTGAATTCTGCCACAGGAAAGACACCACCAAGCAGGTACCACAAGAGTCCACACTACATTTCTGGAAGCTAAATGGAATCCCCTCCTCGCCATGCACTTGGGCACGCTGTGGGAGCCTTCACAGGGAATTATCTCTCTGGGGCAAGTGGGCCCATATTACAATGACGTAATCAGTTACCCTCTAGCCAAATCAAGCAACTAAATCCCTGGGGAAGTGGAGGATTCCAGAACAAATGGAGCTCTAGATGAGGCACTACTCCAGCAAAGTTGTTACCAAGCTTATTTCTTCCGTTGTTTGAAAAAAGGCATAGAGATGTACACAATTGTTAAAATATTTTAAATAAAATATTTTAAATTTTAAATATTTTAAAAATATTTTCTAAAAAATATATTTAAAAATATTTTTAAATATTTTTAAATTTTTAATATCTTTATTTTAAATTTATTTTAATATTATTATTATTTTTAAGTTCTTAATATTTTTAAATATTTTTAAAATATTTTTTAAATATTTTAAAATATTTTAAATAAAGTAAAAAATTTTTTAAAAGGCAGGGAAACACTTCTATAATCTTACTTGTATCCTATCTTGCACATTACTCATTTCATCAGTGAAAAATTATTCCCGATATTCATTAGACTAATTAATTAGCCCTTCAGGACTGATGTAGGAGGCAGTTCTTGAAGTGCTTGCAATACTGTCCTCTAGAGGGAGGATTCTCAGGGCACAGACTCAGGTTAACTTGCACACAGACAAACATCCTACTGGCTCCCCTGAGGTATTTAAGGCAAATTACTGAGAATATAACACTTGCCTAAGGAAAGATGACTGGCTAGAACCAGAATCCAAGCTTCCTTACTTCCCACTCAGAAACACAGGGTTTGTTCTGAGGCACAAAGCTTTCTTCAAATATGACCTTTATGCTACGGGTCGGCAGATCAGTTCTACACAGCAGAACACAGCAGTCAGAATCACTACTAAGCCTTGTTAAGACTCAATTATGCTCCATATACTATACTTATTAAAAGAGAAAATTAGGTATTTTCTACCACTTATTGTCTCTCAGATTGGTAAAGTTGTGTTTTCTTTTTTTTTTTTTTAAGTGATAAAGCCTAATATTGGTAAGGACAAGGAAAAATAAAACCCTTTAATAATCATTGAGAAGGGCGTAAATTAATTTGGCAATACTCCTCAAAAACCTGATGTTCATTCCTACCCTTGGACTCAAACATTCTACTTGTTAAGAATTTATCCTCAGGGGACGCCTGGGTGGCTCAGTTGGTTAAACAGCTGCCTTCGGCTCAGGTCATGATCCCAGGGTCCTGGGATCAAGTCTCACATCGGGCTCCTTGTTCGGCAGGGAGCCTGCTTCTCCCTCTGACTCTGCCTGCCACTCTGTCTGCCTGTGCTCCCACACACTCTCTCTCTCTCTCTAACAAATAAATAAAATCTTTAGAAAAAAAAAAAAAAGAATTTATCCTCAGGGTGTCTGGGTGGCTCAGTAGGTTAAGCTTCTGCCTTCAGCTCGGGTCATGATCTCAGGGTCCTGGGATCGAGCCCCGCATCGGGCTTTCTGCTCCACGGGGAACCTGCTTCCCCCTCTCTCTCTGCCTGCCTCTCTGCCTGCCTGTGATCTCTCTCTTTGTCAAATAAATAAATAAAATCTTTAAAAAAAAAAAAAAGAAGAATTTATCCTCAGGAATTTATCAGAAATGTGTACATCATGTTTAATGAAGGATAGTTGGGAGAAAGGTAGGCAGGGACAAGAGCTCCCTGCCCTAAGAGGTCACCACACTTAAAAGGATTTGACACCACCCCGGAAGGACCCCACCCTTTCCCACATGATAGGTGGATGACAAAAACCTGATTGGATGACAGGCACACGGAGTTAATCAGATTAAGACACCCAAACCATAAAACCCCTAGATCTTGGGGCACCTGGTCAGTTGGTTAAACATCTGCCTTCATCTGAGGTCATGATACCAGGGTCCCGGGATTGAGCCTTGCATGGAGCCTGGCATTGGACTCCCTGCTGAGTGGGGAGTTGGCTTCTCCCTCTCCCTCTGCAGCTCCCTCTGCTGGTGCATTTTCTCTCTCTCTCTCTCTCCCCCTCTGCTGGTGCATTCTCTCTCTCTCTCTCTCTCTCTCTCTCTCTGTAAAATAAAGAAATAAAATCTTTAAAACAAAACAAATAAAACAACTCAAGATCTAAACACCAAATCGGCAACCCTCATGTCCCCTCCCTCTTCAGGAGCTTTGTACTATGGCTCAACAAACTTTGCTTTGCTGCCCACCACTGTTCGTCTGTCTGGTCTACTTCATTCTTCTAAGCAGCATGACCCAGAACCATGGGCACTAAAGAAGAAATCCTGTAACATTTTGATAGAAGAATGTTTGTCATAGGGGCACCTGGGTGGCTCAGTGGGTTAAGCCTCTGCCTTTGGCTCAGGTCATGATCCCAGGGTCCTGGGATGGAGCCCCGCGTCGGGCTCTCTGCTCATCGGGGAACTGCTTCCTCCTTTCTCTCTGCCTGCCTCTCCGGCCTACTTGTGATCTCTGTCTGTCAAATAAATAAATAAAATCTTAAAAAAAAAAGAAAGAATGTTTGTCATAGGTTAATTATGACAATGAAAAATCAGAACTGACCTAAGGATTTGATAGTTGGGACTAATTGAATAATTATGGCACACTTAGAAGATGGAATACTTTGCAGCCAATAAAAGAATACGTGAAAAAATAACACAGAACAATGTTAATGATCATTCGCGAAA